TGGCAGCTATCATAAATCATGACTCATAAACAGACGCATTCATGATCGACGAATTTGACCTTTGTCGAGGAAAATGAATAATATTTTCACTGAGGTTACGAGACCAGAATTATTTTCATAAAAAACATTTTCAAAATAATTATGTACTAAGGTAGTTTTGTAAGCCTAAATTAACCCCACTTTGCATTTTTATCAACACTTTTTTTTACAGACAGGGAATTCAAAGCCAACCTTTAACATGCCCTGCGGACAGGGAGAATCTGGACCGAGACAGGGTAAATAACCTTCAGCATAACCATGAAGGGGAACCAATGCTGGTCCCCACCCACCCCTGTCCTGGGTAGACACAAGAAACCAAAGAGATACTGATTATGGTGGCAAAACCTGGGTGGCAGGGACGACAGAGCCTATCTCCCCAAGAGTAGTGGTGTCACTCTAGGGGAACCTATGTTAGGGTGTAACATATGGCTGGACCCAGAATAGGGGGTGCCCTTCTGGTGAGGACAATAGGTCAGATGGTACGATGGTACCATCCTGGTGAGACCCGGACCTCAGATTTCCAAGGGTGGCCATAGCACTTACTGTGGGGCGAAGTGCGGCCCTAGGGTCAGTGCACTTCCCTGCCACCAAAAAACCTTTATTGACTAAGCAGCTATGATTTTACTAACAACAGAAAGAAATAAGAACAACAAAGCTACCAATACAGGGGGGAAGGGGGTGGGGGGGGGGGTAGGGGGGAAAGCAGAGAACAACCTAGCTTGAAGAATAGCTCACAACAATTGGGGACAGGTTCAGAAATCAAAGGGAGGGAATTTACTAATGAGGATTGGCACAGAGTTGGGGAGGGGCAAAGCATGCTGAGATCAAATTGGTGTAAGACTAGCCATGGCCCGCCAAGATTAGCAATAATTTTATTGGCCGCCCTGTGCGGGCCATGGCCAGTCCATTATGATGTAAAATTGATGAAAGGAAATAAAGTGTGTAAGATCACACAAGAGCGTGAGTGGAGAATTCACTGAGACCTTTGTCATACGTTTTCAGACAGAAAAAACAATACTTTGTGTTAGACATTGATCCCCAGTACTATTGCTCAATGACCAACAGCAGAGAGATAACAAGCCAGTGACAAGCCAACAATGGTTTTGATGTAGACCACAGAGCTCATTGACCCCAGTTTAAATGCTTTACTTCTAATAGCATATCACTACGGAAAAATACTGTATACCCAATTGAAAAACTCCCTGTTTACTGCCGGTACTCCCCAAAACCCATTGAAATGCGGCCAATGAGACATTGGTGAGTAGGTTTATACGGAATATACTAATTAACAATTAGATTATGAGCTCGAGATTAATTTTCTATGATGTGATAGTTGATTCGGCCTACAGCCTCATGTTTTAGTAAAAATTTATAACAATAATTTTTTTATTGTCTTGTATTAAACTCTAAATTCTCTTCCAAAACTTCTGAGAAACGAGAAGAAACCGTAATTTTTGCAGACGACCTCCAGTCACTGCACACTAATGGCTGATAGTGTACGAGTAGCTTCATCCAATCAGATTGTCTCATTTGCATTAGTATACTAGTAGATTTTTACTAATACAGATTAGCGCCAACTTTGAATTCAGGTAATAATAATAATAATATTATTTCTAATTTTGTTTTGGGTCCAACATTTTTAACTTTGGAAAATGTCAAACTGTAAAATTATAGCTGTGAAAAACACCTTTACACTATGGATATAATTGATTAATTTTTAATCCCAAATCAGCTTTTCCCATTCGAACATCCGGGCCATGGCTTTCTCATGGTCTGGGACAAGTGATTGGATATATTCATTATCGTATTCTACTGGCCTGGTAGCTCAGTCCGTAGAGCAAAGCCAGATCTGTTCTTTACTTTGATACTTCAGTGCTTTATCTTGATTTCTTTGTAGGATGTCTTCCCTGACAAAGCAACAGAAAGGAAGATTCTTTCTCTTGCCATCAAATGCCCAAGTGTGGGCTGTGGTTGGACTGGTGAACTTAGGAACAAGAGGTATAAAACAAACATATCGACTGGCTTTATTTCTGAATTAATCAAGACCATGATGTCGAAAGTTATTGATGAACCTTTAACTGTTGCAAATGTTTTATTTATGTAACAGATTCACTTGGCGTCTTGCCTTTTCAAGCTTGTCTCCTGTACCAACGAAAACTGTCACGCGACAGCGCGAAGGTATGATCTCAAGCAACACATGACTATTCACGTGCCTGTGGAGGAGTATTAAGTGTAAACACTGCAGTGAGTCACATCCACATTGCAAAATGCAGGTAAATGTAATTCAATATAGTGTCGTAGTCAAGTTCATAAAAGTTTCAGAACAATGCACCATTGACTGGTTGACTGACAAAAGAAATGTACAAACACATGATTATTTTCTAGTTTGCTAGCTTAAACTAATCTAATTAGTACACATCAATAAAATTGAGAACTTTAGAGTCTTTCATTAGTTTCTGGGCCGATTCATCACCAAATGCTGGAATTGTCCCAGAGAAAGCGTTCCTTTTGGCCTGCTTTCAAAAAAGGGAAACAGCTCAGCTAAGAAATGTCTGGCTAATATCACTGTAGTAAGTAGAAACTAAGCTCATGCACAGATGGTGTACCTATGTTTTAGTACGTAAATTCTTCCTTGCAGGATCATATTGCACAGTGCAGCAAGTTCCCAGTAACGTGTCCCAACAAATGTGGTGTTCAATTTCTAGGGAATTGGTAAGACTTTTCATGTTTGTCTTTCTATAGCTTTTAAACAAGAAGTTAAAAAAAAAAAAAAGAAAAAAAAAAAGAAGTTCCGGTGTAAAAGGGACCTTGCCTGGCCATTCTCACACCTAGTTGTCAATCAACCATCAAAGCATAAACAGCTGACAAACAACCTGCGCTTTTTGTATGACGGTTACTGATAAAATTTGTTTCATTTTTTCGAAGAATGTTCTGTAAAACGTTATATCTTATTTTTTGTTAATGATATATTTTTGTTTCATGATATTTTGAAGCATGTTTAGTTTGTTGGACGCTTGACTCAACAACGTGCCACACTACAAGAGTACAAATTAATTTTGCATTTCGCACCTGAAAGGTGTGAAATGTGGGAGGTGCTACCCCTTTTATAGCGGAACTTCGTGTTTAAGTATTTTACAGAGGGGAGACTCGAACCACGAACGCTGTGTCTTCTTGTCTTTATTTTTACTTATTTTGTAAACTTATTTCAACTTTTTTCGTCAGAACTAGCCAATGATCATGACAGCTGTGATTCGAAGCAACGGCTGAGACATTTTTTCTAACTTTTCCCCGCGTTTTTATCAAAGTAAGACTTTGATAAAAATGCGGAAAAAAGGTAGAAAAAATGTGTTTGGTTTATTTCAGATTACCAATCACACCACAAAGGATTGTCCATTGACATTAATCTCCTGTCCTTATGTAGAGATGGGCTGCAAAAGAAAGGTACGTAAGAACCCACATCACTGTTTGAAAAGAGTATCGGGCATAGTTGATCATCCCGAGAATAGTCCCCAGTGTTGCGGTCTGGCCTGTTCACATGTATTCATGTTATGGGTGGGTGTGGTGGGATTAGGCTTAGCTACAAAAATCCTGATCAATTTTTTTTAGATTTTTAGAAGCTGAAAAGATTTTAGAAAGTCTGGAAATTTTTAGGCGAATTTAGCAATTAAGTTATAAGATTTTTAGAGCTTTTACAGCCAAAAAAATCTGTAAAATGCGTAAAAAGAATATTTAGAATGAGCTTATATTGGCTTAATACATACCTTAACCAAGTTTCAGCAAAATCGTTGGAGCAGAAGTGCGGAGGTAATAAGGCCATCTAAATTTTAGCCCTGAAATTATCTTGAAATTTTCTATACCTGATACTCTTTGGTTAAAACAAGCCACGAACCCGATTTTCTGAGAGAAGCCTTCCCAATGCTTGCTAAATCGGACTCAGCCAAGACGATTTCCAATCGTTACAAATCATTAAAAAGTATTCACTAGTTCTGTAAACATTATAAAATGCTCGAAGACCTGCTCAAATATACAAAGTTGGCGTTTTCCAACATTTTTCGAAAATTATCCAACAGTTCTGAACGATTTTGCTGAAACTTGGTTAAGGTATGTATTAAGTCAATATAAGCTGATTACAGAAATTTAACACAAATCTATCAGGCAAACTTTTTCACTGGGTGCGATTTTGTTCAAAAAGTGCTGTCCACTTAATCGCTAATATCGCTAAAAATATTTTCTCCTAGTTAAATCGAATTATATCATACTATTTCTGAATGATAGCTTTAATTTTTTCCAAAGTTTTATGGCACTGGCATTAAAGCCGAAAACATTACGACCCAAAGTTTTTCATAGTCGAGTGCGCCCGACATTTATCTTTTAAGCCGCTGGGGGGCTTATTTAATTTCAGTCCCCAAGAAGGGGGGGGGGGGGGGGGCTTATTAGAGAGGGGGGGGGCTTATTTCAAATCATAACTTTTCAAGAAAATTCACATTGCTTTTTCAAACTTTACCATTATACCACTAGCTAAAACAGGACAAGAAATGGGTTGTGTATCACCGTCTTACAAATGCAATGTCATTTATACACTAATCCAACGATATTAAAGACCATTTGTTTCAACACACAGGTTATCAGCTCATATTTGGGTTGTGACCTTATAATGGAAAAGAATGCGTCAATGTTGCAGTTTAATCACAGAGTGTGTTTCAGGTGGCGAAATTATGCATTCTTTACATGAAATTACTCTAATTGTCTGGGGCTGAAAATCTACAAAGGCCTGTATATTCCCAGGGAGGGAGGCAGGGGGGTTCCATAGAAAGTGACCGCGGTATGCTTGTCGTCAGGATGTAAAAAAAGTTCTGGAAAGTACTAGAAACGTTTTTACAGGAGACCATGGGAGCTTAGGCCATAGTTATAGGGTAAGCCATATAACTAGGTTACTAATTTATGGTCAAAGCTACCACGAATCTCCTGTAGCTCAGTGGTAGAGCATCTAACTGATGTATGGAAGCTCATAGGTTCGATTCCTGTTGGGGGAACTTAGAATTTTTTCCGAGTTGCTTGTGTCACTGACTGAATAACATATTTCAGTTTACCAAGCTTAAAATATACCATAATTTATTTCCATAAATATAAACTTCTTTCTATCTTTTTTAGGTTCAACGAAAAGAAGTGGAATCCCATCTTAAATTTGACATGAAACCCCATCTTGATTTGGCTTGTGTTAAGTTAAACGATACAGCAGTTAAGTTGAATGAAACACAGAGAAACTTGACACACGGTTGTTTATTTGGAAGATTAACAACTTTAGTGAAATTTTGAGACAAGCGAAGACTGGAGAAAAATGCGCTATTTCCAGCATTCCATTCTACACAGCAAGAGCAGAAAGTTATGGCTACAAGTTCAAAGTAGACGTTTATCCTGATGGTGATGGTCCTGGCAAGAATACTCACCTGTCGGTGTTCATTATTGGAATGAAAGGTAAATACGACGCTATATTACCCTGGCCTTTCAAAAAGAAAGTAAAGTTTACATTGATTGATCAACAAGAAGATCCAGTTAAACGGGAAAACATTACCATGCAGTTCATTCCAGTTGATTTCCCAGAATCATTTGCAAGGCCTGTGGAAGAAAAGAACAGAGGGCTTGGGTTTGGTGGGTTTATATCTCACGAGAAGCTTCATTCACGGCGCTACCTTGTGGATGATACTCTGTTTCTTCAGGTTGAGGTCGGCCCATCATCCAGTTGATTTTGATCAAAACATTTCCACATAAAAACTATTAAAATACTAAAAAGCAAACAAACAAAGCAATTGTTACTTTGGCCTTTTGCTAGACCCTAGTAAAATTGTTGCTAATTCTGTATAGTTTAGTCCTTTCCTTTTAATGCTAGGCTCAACATTTTTTCGCAAAAAAAGCTCATGCAAGTAAGCTTTCTTTTTTCGACGACCATTCATTCTCGTTCCCAGATCCTCCGTTCTTTTAGTCACGTGGTCGGTAACATTTAAAAAACCCGCGTAGCTCTGGGGACGAGAATGACGACCAGTTTAACCACAGTAATGTGCATGCGTTGGAGTGACGTTATGTTGTATGGAAAATAAGTGGTTATAAATACAAAAACAAATTGTACCTTGAATGAAACCAAGGACACAAAGTGATAACTAAATTTTAAATGATTCTGTTCTATTCGGGATTTTTCGTAATTGAGCATAACTAGATAAATCGTTTTAAAATTTAAAATTTATCGGTATTGACATTAATTATTTCGCTTGTATTGTAAAAGTTACTGTTGTATCAGAGAATATTCCTGTTAACATACGTTGAACTTCTCTCAGTTTTTATCGATTTTCGGTTAAGTAATAAGAAACCCAAGCGTATTATCAGATTATATAAGTTTGTGCGGAGTTTCAAAACGGACAATGTTTAGCAATAAAGGAAGAATAAACATTAACTATTGTTGTTGTTGTTGTTGTTGTTGTCTATCTCTTCAATGTTGTTTCCACTCATGTCTTCTTAAAAGGGTGTACAAGAGAAGATCCCAAAATACACGCTTCTGTCGGACAACCTTTTCCAAAGAGATGTGGCGACGCGTTTAAGGTGACTCCGGAGAAATGTCGGGCGCACTCGACTATGACAAACTTTGGGTCATAACCTTTTCGGCTCTAATGTGATTGCCATAAAACTTTGGGAAAAATTACAGCTATCATTCAGAAATAATATGATATAATTCGATTAAACTTGGGGAAAATATTTTTAGCGATATTAGCGCTTAAGTGGACAGCACTTTTTGAACAAATCGCACCCAGTGAAAAATTTTGCTGATAGATTTGTGTTAAATTTCTGTAATCAGCTTATATTGACTTAATACATACCTTAACCAAGTTTCAGCAAAATCGTTCGAGCAGAAGTGCGGAGGTAATAAGGCCATCTAAATTTAGCCCTGAAATTATCTTGAAATTTTCTATACCTGATGCTCTTTGACAAAACAAGCCACGAACCAGAATTTCTGGGATAACCCTTCTCATTGCTTGCTTAATCGGAGTGCCAAGCCGATTGACTTTAAAAGTTATGTAAACATTATAAAATGCTCAAAGACCTGCTCAAATCTCCAAAGTTGCGTTTTCCAACATTTTTCGAAAATTATCCAACAGTTTTCTGTCAAACGTCTTCCACGTGAATTGCAAGGAAATGCAATATTTTTTGCATCGATTTTTGCGGCTGTTCCCGGCTTTAAATTGGTGAAATTGCTGTTGGATTATCAGCTACTCCGCATCTGAGCGCAGGCGAAGCTAACGAACAGTTTTGTTTATGAATACGAAATGAGCACGTGCGGCATTTATTCGAAGAATTCGCACCCTAAAAAGGGGGGCCGAAGTAATATGTGCGCCGGCGAACCCGGGAGGGGAAAGAAGATGTACATTGCCACCCATCGAAACCACTAATGGAGCGTAAATGAGGGTAACTAAGGACAACTGAGGGTAACGAGCCAGGGTAATGAGGGTAATAAGGGTAACTGAAGGAACTGAACGTAACGAGGGTAACTGAGAATAATGAGGGTAACTGTGGGTAATGAGGGTAACTGTTGGTAATGAGGGTAACTGAAGGTAACGAGGGTAACTGAGAGTAATGAGGGTAACTCTGGGTAATGAGGGTAAATCAGGGTAATGAGAGTAACTGAGGGTAATGAGGGAACTGAAGGAACTGAAGGTAACGAGGGTAACTGAGGGTAATGAGGGTAACTGAGGGTAATGAAGGTAAATGAGGGTAACGAGGGTAACTGTGGGTAATGAGGGTAACTGAGGGTAACTGAGAGTAATGAGGGTAACTCAGGGTAACTGAGGGTAATGAGCGTAACTGAGGGTAATGAGGGTAACTGAAGGTAATGAGGGTAACTGTGGGTAATACAATACAATGCAATACTTTAATTTGACACTCCCCTCACGGGGCTTTTCAGTGACAATAAAATTACAGTACAAATTACAATTTAAAATTATGATAAAAAAATTACTATGATAAAAATTACAATGATAAAAACTCGGATAAAATAAATTACTCCTAATTAATCTATGTTAAAAACTCCTCCATTAATTTTGATTTTAAGTGAAATTTAAAAGATGAAATAGTTTTAAGAGTTTTTAAGTTCGATGTAAGGTTATTCCAAATGTTCACTGTTCTATAATAAAAAGTTCTTTGACCAGAGGCAGATTTAAAAAGGGGAATGTTTAAAAGCTGACAGTTCCGGGTCGCACGTTTTTGTGATTTTGTTGCGGGTGATGAACTGATCGCTAAGATAGCGAGGCGCGCATCCAGTCATACATTTAAAGGCTAACACAGCGTCACGAAGGTAGAGGTGTTTGTTTAATAGGGAGCCAGCGTAGTTCTTTCAATGCTGGCTTGATGTGGTCGAATTTCCTCGTTCCTGTGATGATGCGCGCGGCAAAGTTCTGGACCAATTGTAACTTGCAGATGTTTTCCCCCGAGCTGTTGGACCACACGGATGAGCAATAGAATAGTTTACTAAATACTAACGCATTAATTATTGTTACAAGCATATCACGCTTAAACACATGTTTTACACGACTAATTTGGGCTAAACTAGACATACACGATGAAACTGGTAATGAGGGTAACTGAGGGTAACTGAGACTAACGAGGGTAACTCAGGGTAATGAGGTAACTCAGGGTAATGAGGGTAACTGAGGGAAATGAGGTAACTCAGGGTAATGACAGAGGGTAACTGAGAGTAATGAGGGTAACTGAGAGTAATGAGGGTAACTGAGGGTAATGAGGGTAACGGAGGGTAACTGTGGGTAATGAGGGTAACGGAGGGTAACTGTGGGTAATGAGGGTAACTCAGGGTAATGAGGGTAACTGAGGGTAACTGAGGGTAACTGAGAGTAATGAGGGTAACTCAGGGTAATGAGGGGGTAACTCAGGGTAATGAGGGTAACTGAGTGTAATGAGTAGGGGTTGACACATTATGCCGGCATAATTTCGAGCATAATACTATAGGTGGAGCATCGAGCATAATGCCGGCATAATAGTGCTATTTTGCCGGCATAATAGTGCCATTTTGCGACATAACAGTTACTTCTTTTTTAGAGCTACTATTGTCCGTTTATTAAGTAAAAACTACAAAATTTCAAGCTATTTTAATGTTCTACGTGGTTTCCGTTACTATTGAGCACTGTAGGCTTGTTCCCAGTGCATCCTCAAGCGGTTTTAGCTCTTTAGGCCTGGTTACTCTCATTATGCCAGGCTCCTAAGGCCTACCTGTAAATTTGTGCTTCGTGGCGGCTACGGACGATTTTTTTTTTTCGCGCTTCTCGGAATTACGGGGATCCGGAAATTTTTACGGCATAATTACGAGCATAATAGCAACCGTCGAGCATAGTTTGGAGCATAATAGTCCGTTTTGAGGGCAATGCCAAAAAGCATAATACTCGATTTTAGGAGCATAATGTGTCAACCCCTAGTAATGAGGGTAACTAATTAGGGCAACGGAGGGTAACTGAGGGTAACGAGGGTAATAAGGGTAACTGAGGGAACTGAAGGAACTGAAGGTAACGAGGGTAACTGAGGATAATAAGGGTAACTGAGGGAACTGAAGGAACTGAAGGTAACGAGGGTAACTGGGGGTAATGAGGGTAACTGAGAGTACTGAGGGTAACTCAGGGTAACTCAGGGTAAATCAGGGTAATGAGGGTAACTGAGGGTAATGAGGGTATCGATCTAGGGGCAGTCGAACCAAGTAGTTACCCACTGGCAACCTACCACGTGGTATAAGTAGCTCAGAGGTTCCGTTTCTTGAAATGACTCGATCTGAATTCAGACGGTACACGTGCCTGTTGAATATTGTCGCGAAGGAAAACTCACAATCGAGTTTTACTTTAGAAGGGATCAAAATCCTATTGGCTCGAAGCACACTCGCAGGTGACGTCACATTTGGCGATATGCTCGGTAGACTCACAGTTGGACTGCGGCACGGACGCTCTTAAATATAAAGGTCAAGAAATGGTCAGTAAATCTTTTGCATGTC